TGTATACACGAAGACACTGTGTCTCCATGTGGCACGGAGACGCGGCGTGCACGGAGATATGTCTCCGTGTCTCAGTGCATTTCGTGAAGGAGATAGTTAAAGAACCTGCAGCCTTAGTTGGAGACAGGTTAGTGCAAATAATTATATGGACATCTGATTTCTTCCTGGAAAACTTGCAATTTTGATTTGTATTTTCAAATATTATGAATCTATTTCGCATTTAATCCTTTGAATCGTGCTCTAAGAAGCAAGGATATGTGTAAGTTTGGATACGCTTTGATAGGTCCCAGTCAGAACAGATAAATATTATTTAGAAAGTATTCTCTTTGGATGATAACATAACCACAATTTACTGAATTGAATACTTTATTTTATTGGAACTTTCAGGTTTATATAGGCGAAGCCTAACAACCACGTTCAACTTACATACTGGCCCCGTTCGGGAGGGATTAAAATCCAATTAAAACTGAAAATATGGCCGTTATTGGGTCCCACTCGTCTAATAAAAGTCAACAATAACGACTATATTTTCAATTTTAATCCTATTTTAATCTCTCCCATACAAGGCCTAAGAAATATATATTTTCCTTTTTGAATTAGTGAAGAATTTTGTCAGATTAGATTAATTTTCTGTTTTTTGTCATTACAATTATGTGAATATCTGATTAAATCCAAAGTTTGAATTGATTGTGAGAATTTTTCATGATTTGGGAATTAATTAAAATTGTTTCTTGTGTCTAAGCTGTTGAAAATTGGATTTTTGGATACAACGTGCTTCTCAACGCTCTAAAAGCCAACTTCTTTTACAACGTTTTGTTCTGGTCCACTCAATTCCTCTGCGAGGTGAAGTTCTATTAACAACTTTGGCTATAATTGCTATATTTTGATAGGTGACTCATGCATTTTGGTGATCCTAGGTTTACATTTTTATCAATTGATGAACGGAGAGTATGCAATAGTATAATCCAATTGTATATGGTAGAAATATCCAACAGTCCACTATGTCTTTTAATTGAGTTCCTTTTTGCAGTAATTGAGGGGTTAAGGGAGAAGTTTGTAGAGGGGACGGTAGGGATGGCAAAAAAATCCGACAAACCCGATACCCGCGGGCCCCGCCCCGAAAACCAGCTTAAACGGGTAACGGGGCGGGGAATT